CATGCTGAACATAACCGCTGATAAGCATTTTTTCCCCCCGACAGTAAGGCAAAATCTCCTCCGTCTCCAGAATCACAAGAAGCAGTTGATTCATCTTCCCTCAGGCTGGAAGACAGATCAAGCTGCAGCAGAAAAAGCATCCTAGCACCCCTCTCCCAGCCAGGCTTCCATCTCCTCTGTCAGCTGTCAGATCAAAATTCACTCAGTGTCTGTCTGTCCAACTACCACCACACTTTTCTTTCCAAAGTTAGAAATGAGGTGTTACATCATGAGTGTAAATCAGAAGCTAATGTGTATTCTGCAGCCTAAACAACAAAAATACTGCTGATGCTGTTGACAAGTTTCATTCTCACATACTGTATTTTCACCTTGGACTAGCCCTCATGAGTAAGAAGTTTTGTCTGCCATTGTGCTGTTACAAGCATTATAAGTTCCAAAAGTGGTTTCAGGATGTCTGTTTTGTGTTGTTTTTCACCTCACGATTGAGGCAGCTGTATCATCCTTCCCGAGGAGCAGATCGACTCTGTGGCCCATCACGGCTTGAAGGCTTGTAATGGGTGTGCTCCAAGGTTGCCACTGAGGCTTGTTGAGACCAATGGCCAGGCTAATGAGCCCCTAAAGGATCCACTGTTAGGTCTCATGGCCTTGTTAGACCACCGAGATTGGGGGAGTTGTTAAAGTTATTGAGCAAGTAGGGGAAGCTAGAGGGTAAGAGAGCATGCCTGTAGAAGTAAGACTGGTGAAAAAAGACTAAATTATACAGCTATGCTAGTGATGGTTTGAGGCTGTACTTTCTTGGGTACAGCAATGTTTTGAGCTAAAAGTTAATGTCAGCATACTATTATTACTATACTATTGACGAGTTTAAACATAAATATAAAGGTATGTGTCAATCAAGATATATGCAAGAACAGGCTTAATGATTAACCAGATGGAACATTGTGGGTGTGGTGTATGAATGTTAACACTTTGTAATAATTCTTTAGTATATTACTTGTGTGGTGTAGAAGATAATT